TTCTAAGGAGCAGCTGGTGGGTGTGAACCACCAACCTTGTGGTTAGTAGTCCAGTGCTTATGCTACAGTGTCACATCAGTTGTTTTTGTTGTTGATAAGTGCTGTTGAGTTGGTTCTAACTCATTGCAGCCCTGTATAGGGTTTCTGAGGAACAGCTGGTGTGTTTGAACTGCTGATATTATGGCTCAACCTGACCTTGCAGTCCAGTGCTTAGCCTACAGCACCACACCAGTTATGTTGTTGTTGTTAAGTGCTATCGAGTCAGTTCTGAGCCTGGACTCAAGCACAGCAATAATTGTGAGGTTGCCGCAGGACCGGGCAGTGTTCTATTCTGTTGTGCATAGGCTTGCTGAGAGTCAATACGGACTCAACGGCACCTAACAACAATGTCACTAAAATTTACTCTTTGAATTATTTTCTTTTTAATGACTATCCATGAGTTTCTTGCATCTAGGCTCTTTTTTTTTTTCCTTTTTCTTTTACTGTTTGGACCTAAATCGGTGGGCATGGTTGCAGTTCATATACTAAAAGACTGACTCGAATAATCCCTAAGCCTTCCTTAACTAAGAGTCATCCAATTGCATTTATCTTTTCTGTTTGTCAGTAGTTTCTTTTCATAAAATTGTAGTTCCGGCATTGAGAGGCTCAGAATCTCAAAGAAGTTTTTATTTGAACAAAGTCTTTGGATCTTTTTTTAAGATTTAGATCTGTACTCAGAAAGACTCTGCAAGTAAATATTTGGAGCTTTATGGGCTTAACATTATAACCATTAAGCAAAGATCTTGATATGTTTGTTTATCACAACTGTAGTTTTTGACTCTGAAAAATAATAATATCCATGTATTGCTTTGTTTTGTTTTTCTCCTCCACTGTTATGAATATGGAGTCCTGATGTGGCACTATAGGATAAGCATTGGGCCACAAGTTTGGTTTGAACCACAAGGTCGGTGTTTCCAACTCACCAACCTCCTTCTGGAAACCCATGTGCAGGGTATCCATGAGTTGGAACCCACTCGACAGCACTTAACAACAACAAGAACATAACTAATATGGTGGTGGTGGTTGTGAGCCCTGAAGTCATAGCAGCCCTGTATAGGGTTGTAAATCTTAATGAAAGCCTCATCTTTTTGCTGTGGAGCTACTGGTAGATTAGAAATGCTGACCTTGTGGTTAACAGCCCAATTTGTAACAGCTCCACTATGCTACCAGAGCTCCTTGTCATTAATACAGTAGGGAAACACATACACACACATTTTCCCCCACCATCCTGGTGTGTTGCTGCAGGTTAATGCATTGGACTGAAAAATCAGTTTGAACTGCAACATCAGCAGTTCAAGCACACTAGTCACTCCTCGCAAACCCTATACTGGATCACCATAGGTTGGAACTGACTCAGTGGCCCTTAACAGCAACACAAACATGACTAATATGCAGCCCTGGTATGGCTCTGCAGGAGAGTGAACTGCAAGATCAATTCGAACCACAAGGTCAGCAGTTCAAAAACTGACCTAGATAGGGTCACTATGAAGCAAAAGTGACTCATCATAACTTACCAACAACTACACTGTAGGATTAGAACTGAACCACAAGGTCAGTTCAGATTGGTGGTTCAAACTCAACAGCCGCTCCTGGGAAACCCTATACAGTTCAACCCTCTCAGTCACTCCATGGGAGAAAGGTGAGGCTTTGTGCTCCAGTAGAGATTTACAGCCTGGGAAATCCTGTACAGGGTCTCTAAGGGTACCAAACAACAACAACATCACTAATATAATTTCTAAATAGAAAGTTTATAAAACATTTACTAAAATAATAAAATCATGCCATATATTTACAAACTCTTTTAAAAAAAATAACAAAAATGTTCTGTTTAAAGAAGAACGGATATGTTTTTAACTGTATATGACTTTACATTTTTTTAATTCAGTTTGTTTAAACACTCACATTAATCAGATCAAGGTCAGGGGTTTGATCTTTGATTGATTAGCTGTGTTTACCTTTGTTCCTGATTACTTTCTTGTAAGTTCTGGCTCTTGGCCCCAGAAGGGGTATTCAGAAATGGGGAACCCAGATGGCAGTGTGCAGAAGTCCAGGACAGGCAAGACCTGCAACTCAGATGGTTTAGTTGTGGCCCTACAAAGGTCACAGCAATGGGCTATGGGAAAATATGTGAGCAGCGAGATGAGAACTTAGGGAAGCCTGACCAGAAGTAAAATGCATGCATATGAGCAGGGAGGTGGATTGAGTGTGTTGTGTGGCAGTCGACTAGAGGAACCCAGGCTTAGAAACTAAAGTTCAGAGGCAAGAATTGAGTCTCTGGGAAGCTGCAAAACAATTATTTTAATTACAATAATAGTAGAACACAATAACTTAGCACAGCTGTTTGCTTATTAATGATTCTCAGTAAATATTTAGGATAAGCAGTGGGCTGCTAACCACAAGGTCAGTGATTGAAATCCACCAGCTTCTTCTTAGAAACCCCATACAGGGTCGATATGAGTTACACAACAATAGAAACCTTATTATAATCAAAAGAATTGTTTTTCAGACTCCCAGAGACTAGATTCTTGCTGAAGCTATTGTCCTTGTTAGGTGCCATTGAGTCAGTTCCGACCCATAAAGACTCTGTAGAGGGTTTCCAAGGAGCAGCTGGTGGGTTCAAACCACTGACCTTGAGGTTCAAACAGACCTTGTAGTCCAGTACATTGTCCCGCATGCCACACCAGGAAGCATTGTACTAACACTTAAATAGTGTTTACTTATAAATTTGCTCCTTGAATATTATCAGCAATGCTATGACACTGGCTCTGTTCACATGGAATATGAAAATATCCCTATTTAACAAATGAGGAAACTTTGTCACAAAGAGAGGTTCAATAACTTGTGCAAGGTCACATAGTTTAATAAGTTTTCGAGTCTCATGAAGTAGGAACTACTATTCTTTGCAACACTGCTTTAGAAATGAAGAAAATTGAGCCTTAAAGACCTTAAATTTTCAAAGTACACAAGATTAGTGAATTTTAAAACCAGAACTTGAATTGCAATTTAATAACTTCAGAGTCCATTCTTAAAACCATAATACTTCATTGCCTTAGGGTAAATGGAAAATTGAGTTTTACATATTAACTTCTTACAGGGACTTGCATGTAACCTACTAGGAGGGAGGCCAGGGCAGTACAGTGTTAGAATGTAAGAATTAAAGCAAGTTGAAGAGACAAAACAGCCAGCAAGGATGACATGATGGTGAGCTCCTAACCAGATGTCTTTAAATTCTCTCTGACTAGAAAAAGGAACTGTGCAAAACTTGGGGTGGGTCTGAGTCTGCAGAAACAGATTCTTGTTAGTTGCTGTCAATTCTATCTCATGGCAATTTCCTGTGTCCAATGAGGCCTGAGTTTACTAAGTAGGAAGTGAAGGAATTTGGAGGCAAAATGAAAAGAATGTATACATAGAGGTCAAGGTAATGTAGATGGAATACCATCTATCTTGGAAAATAACTCAGCATAGGAAAAGAAAATTTGTCATTGATTATAAAGCAACCCACAACATATGGCACTGCCTTTTATGATGGCATAAGTAAATACCATATTGTACATGACTAAATAAAAAGCATACATATCTACACTGGAAAGGACAAGTAGACCAGCCTGGAGTGACTAGAAACACAGAAGGTACTTCGTGAAAGAAAGACTGGCAGGAAAAATCTGAAACAATAGTGGCAGTCTGACTGATTACTAAAAGAACAAGTAAGCTTTTCACCCAGGATCCAGCAAGTCAAGTGGTTGGGACCCCTCAGAGCAAACCCCCTTCCAAGACTGAGACTCAAGGGGAATGTATGAGCAGGCATGTGGTCTGGCTGGTGACCACATTGATAACCGATAAGGGGAAGAGGGGGGAAAAACAGCAATGAAGTTGCAAGCTAAGCCCAACCACATTCAATAGACCCCTGTGAACCTGGGTGGAGACATGGATGGCCAGCAGTATGGCAAGACCTGGGGACTTCTGGGCCCAGAGGCAGTGACATGGCCACAGAGGACTAGAGCGGAGAGTGAAGCATCCAGCTGATATGAAGTGAGGGGCGATGCACAAGAACACCCATACTTGCAGATAGTACCCACTTGACCTGGCTTTGATGGCTGGATGATCAGAACTCGACTAGAAGAAGAAAGAAGAAAGAGAAAGAGAGAGAGAGAGAGAGAGAGAGAGAGAGAGAGAGAGAGAAAAAATTGCTACAATGTGATTAACTTTACCTATACTTATAGATGTAGTAGCTCAAAAAAGGGAACAAATCTTACAGCTAGGATCCCTCCCACTCCCTCTGTACACAGGGCTGACAGGGATGGGCAACTTAGACATTAGCTACCCAAAATGGGGGAGCCTATAAAGGCAAGACGTGACTGGCTTACAAGCTTTCAAGAGGGAGCCTGGTTCCAGATGGGGTGGAGGGAGGTATAGTCACTACTGAATGATGTCCAATCTTTTGGGTCCAGGCTGGCGAAAGGAAATGGGGATAAGACTCTTGTGATACAATAGTGAATAATTGTCATCAGGACTGACTGTGAGGGTAGGAAATATAGAGGTTGATGTTTTTTTGACAAAAGGAGGGGAGTGATTGATTTTGCAGCCCAGTAGCAGAGGTCCCTGGGACCATCAAGTGAGAAGAATGGAGAGTGGGACCCTACCCAGAAAGGCAGTGATGCCAGGGATGGAGACAGTGGTGATGATGTGGACAGATGGAGACACTGGGAGCAGCTGGAGACACTGGACTCAGGGAGGGAGAAGGGTTGTGTGCTGGTGGTGAGGGGGCAGGCCTGTGAGATGTATCCTTTGGTTATTTGATGATGCATGGAAGGGGTTGTAGTCATTGCAATGAAATGAAATATGTTAGGATGTGTGTAAGCTGATGTTCTCCCATGTAAACCTCACAACGAAAACTTAAAAAAAAAAAATATATATATATATATACATATCTAGCAAGTAAATTTTGTTTATTTACTTTTCAGCAATCATTCCGTCCAAGATTCCTTGGTGTAGCTGAACAATTACACAATGAAGGTTTCAAGGTACATTATATTCATTTCTTCCCAAGTTGTTTCTGTTAGTATTGGTATCTGTCCATAAAAAGCAGACACCCAGAGAAAACAATGAAAATTAAATATTGAAGGGTTTTAGGGAAAGAAATAGCTCTAAATATGTCCTAGAATCTCAGTAGTTTCAAAACTTAAATGGAATAAAATAATTATAAAGATTGGTCTTAGTTTTTACAAAAATTACCACAAACTGAATAGTAGTTTTCTACTAATATCTTATAATGTTTATTTAAGCAGAATTGAGAAAAAATTCCAGTGTATTTCTGCATAATTTTCCTCTATTCTTTCCTGTTTCCATATGAGGTCATATTTTCCAGGTGTTAGCATGACAGGTAAACTTTCTTTGCAGTGAATATCTGTACACAAATCTTGGTTCTGTGAAACATATGATTCGCAAGGCTCAGGGTAGGCCTGTGGCCTGGGGGTTTTGTGGACCTGATAACAGTGAATTCTCAGCCATATATAATTCAGTAGTTTTCTTCTCTACAGAAGAAGTTACAGTCAAGGTTTTTAGATTTTTTTTCATCACTGCAAATATTTGGGAACTATTTAAAGCACTTATGCCTTTGGATTCTAAGTCTAAGTGTCTAATCATGGCCCCGTGTTACTTCTCATATTTAGCAGTTTTCTCTCCTATGTGTTCAAATGTCATACAAGTCTCAGCATTCTTTGTGCCATTAAAAAGTATCCATTCCTTCCTCCCGCCCCCCCATTTTACTGCAGCTCTTTGCCACAGAGGCCACATCAGACTGGCTCAATGCCAACAACGTCCCTGCCACCCCTGTGGCTTGGCCATCTCAGGAAGGACAGAACCCCAGCCTCTCTTCTGTCAGAAAGTAAGAACCAGGTTGATTGTGTTCTGAGATAACAAAATAAGTAGAGGATTAATTTTGGGGATCAATATGATATGAAGAGTTCACCTTATTGCAAGTCTTTTTGAAGCCCTCTTAGTCAAGCAATTAAAAATGAATAAATGTGAATTAAAGTAAAATTTCACTTTTGTTAACTTGGTTGGTTGGTTGGTTATGTGGCATGGAATTGGTTCTGACTCATAGCGACCCTGTACAGGGTTTCTGAGGCTGTAAATCTTTACAGGAGCAGAAAGCCTCATCTTTTCCTGCAGAACAGCTGATAATTTCGAACTGTTGACCTTACGGTTCACAGCCCGATTCGTAACTACTATGCTATCAGAGCTCCTTTGTTAATTTAGCCATCACTATATAATACACTGTGCCCATGCTTTCATGTTCATATGTGAGATCCTTCAAAATACTCCCTAATAAGGGTGCTTTCCTTGATGGACACTGGGATCTCCGTGAGGGCATGAGAATGTAATGCAATGCATCTTATTTCATGTTCAACATATTGTGTTTGTATGTGTCCATTAAAAACACAATTTATCAATTGCATTTCATGGAGGTTGTACATCAAGGAGTCAATTCATTGAGCACTTGGTATATGTAGTAGACTACAGATAATTTCATTCATTGGATTTCCTAATTTGTTAATTTTAATCACATTTGTTGCTATATCTTACAAAAACAAAAACAAAACAAAACAAAATAAAACATTGCTGTCCAGTTGGTTCCAACTAATAGTAACCCTCTTTCTCCTGCAGAGTTGTTGGTAGCTTTCAGTTAGCAGTTGAGTGTTTAACCACTGTGTGACCAGGGATCCTATTATGCCTAAGATATAGGTGTAATATGACTAGGAGAGAATCCTTGGTTACACCAGCATGTTACATCTACTATGACTAAGTCAGACCAAATTCTATGCATATGTTACTTGTTAGCACTCTTAAGAAATCAACCTGTAAGTCATTATTGAAATTAATGAAACAATGGCATTGTGTTCAGACCTTTGCAGGCTCCCAAGAATTTTAGAGCTTTGCAAAGCAATTTGTTGTTGCTATTAAGTGCCATAGAGTTGGTTCCCACTCATAGTGACCCTGTATAGGGTTTCCAAGGTTGCAGCTGGTGAGTTTGAACCACTGACCTTGTGGTTTAAACCAACCTTGAGGCCCACTGCTTTATCCCACAATGCCACACCAGGACTCCATGTCCGCTAAAACATTTAACTGTCTCCTAGTATGTGTAGTAGAGTCCTAGTGTAGCACTGGACCAAAAGGTCCATTTCAGCTTCAAAGTTGGTGCTTCAAACTCATCAGCCACTCATCGGAAACTCTATACAAGGTTACTATGAGTCAGAACCAAATCAATGGTACTTAACAACAACAGTATGTGTAGCAGCCCAGCAAAAGAAGTCGTTTAATTAAAAAATCAGGCAACTTACATTCTCATATCACCTGCTGAGAAACAGTGGGAAGTCAGAAATCAAGTAACTTTAATGTGAGGGAGGAGGGCTGGGGCAGAATGACCTTCAATGGTGGAGGAATTACCTCTTTGTGTGAAATACCTAAAGGCCTACCAGATTTCCAATTCTTTCTACGGACAGATCACACTTTAAAGAGAGAATGCACATGTCCATTCTATTAGTCAGACTTTCCTCAGAAAGCTTTCAAGAACACTATAAAAAAAAAATCATAATCCCCAAATGAGTGTAATTTGGAAATCTAGTTAGGGATAAAGGAGAGCAGGTGGCAGTCACTCAGCATGGACTTGACTTGAATGGCAAAGAGGGTGATTTATGTTAGTCCTTTCTAAATTCATTATAAAACATACAGCCAACTGCAAGTTTTTTATCTATGTTGTTTATTCTTCCAGGCTGATTAGAGATGGGAGCATTGACCTAGTGATTAACCTCCCAAATAACAATACAAAGTTTGTCCATGATAATTACGTGATTCGAAGGACAGCTGTTGACAGTGGAATCGCTCTCCTCACCAATTTCCAGGTCTGTGTTTTTGTTTTTGAGATTTAAACTCCATGAGGCTTCTATTTCTGTACCTCCTTTACCAGTGCTTTGCGACAGATGCACACCTCTCTTTCCCCTCCTCTTAGCATTCTGAGTAGAGAGGAATTGTTTTAAGAATGCGAATTAATGATGCTGACATGGTAGGCTGTTGTTCAAAATGAGACAATGGATGCCCAAGCTGTTGAGATCATCTGATGCTACTGATCCTCACACAATTATTCCTTGAAAAAAAAAAAAAATGTTGCTGTGTCCTCGATTGGAGATACAAACTTGTATTCTGTTGTTTCTAAATGAAAGCCACCATATAAAAGCAATAAGTTAATTATAATTTGTCCAATTCACAGAAAATGATCACAAAATGTTCAGTTTCACTTGGATGTAATCCACTGCGTTTAATAACAGGAAGAATTGTTCTTTGATACCCATTAGCTTTCTGCCCATCATAATTTTCCCCCTAAATCAGCTTTAATATTTCTATGGAGGAGGGAATAATCTTATTTATGGAGGCTTATGAGATACAGGAGTCTTAAAGTCAAAATTTCAGTTTATTCTTGAAGTAGAAAACCTGACTTTTCATTCCTGCTTCACGGTCATTCATTTTTATGACATGAATGTTACTAAAGTCTTTACCATTATGTTTTCAGGTGACCAAACTTTTTGCTGAAGCTGTGCAGAAATCTCGCACCGTAGACTCCAAGAGTCTTTTCCACTACAGACAGTACAGTGCTGGGAAGGCAGCATAGAGAAGCCTGACTGCCATCCCCATTCTTAAACTGGCCTAAGGCATGTTTATCTAAAGGAAGAGATTCCCAACTTTGTTTCCCAAAGACGAATATAGATACTAAACTTTATTTTAGTTTACTCTGTATCCTTAATATTCTGTATCTCTCACGATTAAATTGTTGTCCATCAATCTTCAAAATTTCACTCAGCGAGTCCTTCTTAAGTAACTTGTTTTTCATGAGAATTCCTCAGTTTATGAAAGCCTTCTTTTTGGATAGGCTAAGTTTGCCTTCATGCTTTTTGCAGCTAACATTTTATGGTGCTGATCAAGCTGAGAAAAGTTGCTGCCTTATCTTTTAAACTCTATACAGGCAGTTGTTGGATTATGAATGAGAGACATTCCTAAACTATGTCCTTACGACAAATTTGTAGGCAAGTCAGAACAGGTGCATATGGTTCTTATCAAAATCAACTCAATGGCACTGAGTTGATTAGAGCAAGGAAAGTCTCAAAGTCATTTCAGTGACTTAAAAGCTGCACGTACAGAGAGTGAAGATGATTGTGACCAAGGGTTGGTTGCAAATCGGGTTTGTTCAATCATTTCAAAGTGTGGGCAAATTTCCATAACATTAAAGGGACAGTATGAGTTACACTTACGGAGTCCTGGTGTCGCTCTGATGTTTGCAACCTGGGGAATTTACAGACACTGCTATATTATTTTTAAATAGCATCTGCCAGACTCAGGACATTTTGACAAGACAGAACATTATGCAAATTTATTAAAATGAGATATAGATTTAAGTTGTAAGCCCTTGATTATGAAGTTTGTGTACTTCCTCTTTTTGATTCTCACCTATCTGGTACATCCAGGAATATCAGATCCCTTCATAGGGAGTGTGATGGACATCTTTAAAGTGTGGATGTTTTTAAAGGACTGGCTTGGAGGGGTTTTGAAGTGAATAGCAGAGGTAGACATGTGGTTTCTGAGCTGCTTTAGCTATATTCATTCCTTCTTAACCTGGTCTAAGTTAAATCTTCACATTTTGCCACCTGTACTTTCCCCCAATTTTAGAATAGCATGGAACTCATGTTTATTCCCTTCACATTACAGAGTTTGTTTACCCCTACTGAGTCCTTTACCAGATAACACATTCCTTATACTTTAGGCTCAAGGTTCCCATTTCTTCTCCATGCACCCCATTTCTTCATAATACATAGCAGATTTTGTTGCTTTTAAACTTTTTGTGTTATTACAAGTGCTTTAATTGTGAACTTTTCAATAAAATACTATGAAGAGAGAATACAGTGTTTTGTTGCATTTATTATTATTATTATTTTTTTACCTTTAGTACATAAATCTGTTATCTTCCATGATGAAACAAGGTTTTGGACAAAGATCACCTCATTTATTTATTTATTTTCTATACCAACCTATATAGAATATGTAAATTAATGTTCAAACTAAAGCTTACCTTTTTTTCCCTTGTTTCTGCTTGCTCACAGGCTTCATTATAAAATGTATTATGTGTTGCTGTTAGGTGTTATAGGGTTCCTTCTGACTCACAGAGACCCCATGCAACACAGAAGGAAACGCTGTCTGATCCTCTGCCTTCCTCACAATCGTTAAGCTTCAGCCTATTGCTGTCACCACTGAGCCAATTCATCCCAGTGTTATATGATGTGACACTGCAGGTTAATGTGTTGAACTGCAAGGTCATTTGAACCACTGATGTTTGAACTGGAAGGTAGGCACTTCAAGCTCACCAGCTGCTCCTCAGAAATCTTATACAGGGTCAGTATGGGTTGCAATCGACTCCAAGGCACTCAACAACAACAAACATATGATGTAATTATATGGATATATACCACCTTTGCTGTGGATCTTTTCAAAGCATATTGCTAGCTACAACAAACTCTGATTTCACATTGCCCAGCCAAAACAACCCATTTTTGACAATTCTATTCTGACTCATAGGACAGCATAGAACTGCCCATAAGATATCCAAGGCTATGTATCTTTCTGGAAACAGACTGTCACATCCTTCTCAAGTAAAGCAGATGACAGGTTCAAACCACTGAACTGTTTTGAGCAGCCAAGCATTTGAACCATGTGCCACCAGGGCTCCTAAATATTGCCACAAATATATAATAAAGTTCCAAACAAATACCTTGCATAACACAGAGCAAGGTAATTAAAACCATTCAGAATCAAATCCGTATTACCTGATGAGGATAATACCACACCCCAGATTTACCAACTAAAACGTAGTTTTGTGAAGATCACAATACTATAATGATTTTATTCTAGTCAATGAGTTACAATTTTGAATATATCTACATGAAAGTCTTTTAAATGCATTTCCTCCTTCTCCATGATTATTCCTATTCTTCTTATTCTAGTACATTTCTGCTACTATTCCACTTCTCAGTACACCACCACCTGTACCACCACCACTACTACCATCATCATAACTCAGATTAGGGAGCATCTATTATGCCTTAGGCTGTAGCTGAATTTACATGGATCAATGTAATCCACAATCGTCCCTGTTAATAGGTACTCCAATCCCCCTGACAGTATGCTCTGTAACTTCCATGCACTATTACACTCAGGGAGTGTGAACGTAATACAGCAGGAAGAAGAAATTCAGTAACATACCTAAGATCACATGACATATAATTTCATTTTTTATGTATGAACATATATAATAATAAATTCTATACAATAATGACAATGCAAAAGTGTATCAGAGAAATTATTATTTAATTTATCTATAGAGATCAGGAAAGATATGGAATTTTGAATTGTCTTGTACAATATGTTGTTAATTCTCCAGGTAAGAGGGCAAGGGCTTTAGTTTGAGGAAATTATCAGTTGACAGGAAGGATCAGTCCTGGAGAAGGACATCATACTTGGAAGCGCGTTAGCAAAAACGTGGAAGACCTTCAACAAGACGGGCTGACACAGTGACTACAACAGTGGGCTCAGACAAAGGAACGGCTGTGAGGACAACTCAACATTGGGCAGTGTTTCATTTTGTTGTACATAGGCTTGCTCTGAGTTGGAACAATTTGACAACGTGTACCACCAACAATAGCAAGTTGTTTAGTATGACTGGAATTAATGGTATGTGTGCAGAGAAAGACATAGGGATAAAATATAGTTGGATTCTTAGTTTTATATTTAAAATATGGGAGTTTTAGAATTATTTTAAATATAATTTCACACAAAAAATTACAGTAATTAACCCAGATTAATCTATTTATAATATTTCATACCCATTTTATTTATTATTGCTATCTATCTGTCTATCTAAGATGAGGCTTTCTACTCCCGTAAAGATTTACACCCTCGGAAACCCTATACAGGGTCGCTATGGGTCGGAACCGACTCGA